GCTGTGTGGAAGGGTCCAGAGACAATTGCCCAATGAGAATGGCCAATTTGGGTGAAGTGTGGAAGCTTCGAGATGCTTCCAAGATGAGAAGTTATAAAACAAGTGGCACATAAGAGACTTGGTTGATTTTGGGACTGATGGAGAGGTATGGGTTCTTGTCTGCCTCATTGTTTTTAAGTAAACTTGGTTGTAGGCTGGAGAAAGAAATCCAGACTTCCAGCTTTCCATGAACATTCAAAGAGCCAGGCCACTACCTGTATCTTGAGTAAAATAGAAATGTGCAGCTAGTTGCATTAAAGTGTGTTTCTTTCTGACCTTCACCTGTTTTGTAACTACTCATAAGTAACAGCCAGAGGAAGGTGCCTTTATGTACAAGATATCTTGTATTCTAATACAGGTTTGATAGCTTCAAATATAAACCTGCCTCTTAACATGTTTTTGCTCAGTGTGTGTGCATACACGTGTATGAGATTATCACCTCTCAAGGGAGGAAGAGGCAAAGTCTCTGCAGAGTCAGCTGCGGAGGAAAATGAGTTAAACCCCTCAGTAATTTTCTGCTTAAGTTACTGAGTCATTTGGCATGAATTAGTAAGTGGTGGCATCTGAACAGAATTTCAGGATATCCTCTTCTACCCAAGAGCAGGAGATGGTGCCAGAGCCCATTACTGTGTGGATAACTTCGGGGGGTAGAGAAAGACATTTTTGTTCTCTTGAAACCTTGACAGGATTAATACAAATCAGGGTTCCAAATGGCAGAGACACTGGGATCTGATGTATGTCTCTGTGTGACTTTCATAATATACTTTGTCTAGCAACCTGGAATAGGTTACCTATGAGCTTCATGGCTGAGCTGGGATCTAAATAAACCTTAGCATTTTCATACAGGTCCACAGGGACTTCAGCATCCAGCCATTCCTTGGCTGGTAGGGAATTATATATCTTGCAATACTTTTGAGAACCTTAGACAGATGGATGTATATAAGTTGGTAACCAGGGGGAAATGATGAAACACTCAAACATACTGAGGTATAAATATTCAATAGTATTCCTGTATCTTTGTATTATGTAATGAGAAGTCAAAGGTAGAGGTTTTTGGGAGAGAATGGGGAAGTGGTGGGATTGGGGAAAATACTTGTATTTTGATTGTTGAATTTGGAAGATGGTATGTTTCTGTGTGTGTGTGTGCATGCACTTTTAAAAAAAGATCTTGCAAGATTTGCTAGACTAACAGGTAGTCAAGAGTCCACAATTTGAGAGAAGTTTCACAAATTCACTTTGGGCTTATTTTGTTTCTGCACAATGATGTCACAGAGGAACATCTGTAAAATAGGACACCAGATTTATTTTTAACAGCACATTTCTTTTTATAGTGATAGTGTGGGGGCACTTTTTCCTAATGCCTTGTTTTCATGTTGTCTGTTTTTACATAAGCAAGGTGCCTTGTGGGATTTTTTTAAAAAACCCTATAAAGTTTCATAGCAGCTGACTGAAAGTTCTTGTGAGCTCGTTAAAACAACAGTTAATTATACAAAATAGTGTTATGGGAAAAAACACAATAAAAACAGAAAAATGAAGGACACAGAATTGTTGTCAGAACAAGTTTTCCATCAGGGCAATCAAGATATAAACATAATGTAGTTATTCTGAACTGTGTTGCCATTGCAAGGATTGAGAGAGCTTCCCAACAGAGGATTCATATTGCTGCCAGTCGAAAAAGATTAGGCTGCTATCCAGTGGTTTCTGAAGTGAAGGGAATAACCAGGGGGCTCTGGAGATATGGGGATGGGTTTCTCAGTGCTGCTGCTCCTTGCCTCTTGCAAGGAGACTCTCGGGAGAATCTCATATGCACTACATGACTTCTATTATATCTCATTATTAAGGTATAAGGAAACATGGCACAGTTTTGTGCAGCAGCCTGGAATCCTTCATAGTGTATTGTTTGGGCCTAAAAGAGTCAGGAGAAAGAGGAGGAATAATGTGTTTATAAATCCGTTGAACAAGGTAATTGAAAAGTTCTCTGGCACGACAGAATTATGTACACTATACATTGCCCAGTAATTGCTCAATTTTTACACAATGGCATTTTTGTAACCTACAAAAGGGCCATGCATGAAACAATATGTTAAGACACATCACAGCTTATTCCTCTCCTGAGGGATTCAAGACAGTGGCTGAATCTCAAGGTATTTTGGCCGTGCACGTGGCAAACAATCAAGGCTTTTATAAGGAGCCCAAATACGGCAAAATGCTTTATAATCCTTCCTGTACATAATTCCTCAGAGGTAAATTCCACTTACACACTCCCAGGTCATTCTGTATGTAGATTTCAGCCCCAGCTTTGCTTTTCTTTGCTCTCAAGACCAACAAGAGTGTGATGTCAGTCATCATTAGTCGTATCCCTTTCCTTATGGGGATTGAATGGCAATTGATCCATCTACTTGTACTTAGTATGACCTGGCCACAGGGACAGCACACTGCCCTTGTTTGGGTTCATGGTGAGCCATCACATGATGTCCATCACCTGACCTCAGTGTACATTTGTCTGTTCAATGCCTGAGATAAAAGCTGGGCATCCAAATTATCTCCCAGCCCTGAACTTCTACCAGCCCATACAGATGTTAGAGCCACTTTCTCCCTTTCTTTGTGTCAAACTGTTTCGTTCAGACCTCAGAAACACTTCTTTTGTGGACAAATTCCAGTACTAGCTTATGGATTCTAGGCATTCTAATCCAAACAGTAACTTTGTCAGCTCTAGTTTCATAGCAGAGTATTGCAAAAAACAAAACAAAAACAAAACCCTAGGATGTTTCTATTCTATAGTTGTCAGAAACTGAACACCCAAGCTACCTTGTCTCTCCAGTACAATTTCTGCCTTTGCTTTTTGCTTCCTGGGTGCATCCAGAGCAAGAAAATGTGACTTTTCCTCCAAAGAGAGCTACTGCCATCAGATTTGCTCCAACAAAACCAAGAAACCTGACTCCAGTTAACTTTCAGCACATTGTCTTGCAGAATTGACCTCTCAGGGTTTGTAGGACTGTTCCTCTACTACTTTCACACTGAAAAATAAATGAATACATGAATACATCTAAAAAACCGATTTCATGTTAGAGTTGCAACAAGATTCACCATGGAGGCCGGGTACATTTTTATCTGGTGTTGTTTAGTGAAGAAAAGTGTTAAATTGGTCTTTCCTAAATAGGAGCTCTCATTTGCCATACTTAATTTTTTTTAAAATCTTGTAACTAAGCATCTTGAACAATTACCCATGTATTGAATTGTGTACGGGAATGTATTTTCACTAGGAATATAAATATTTGCCAATTTCATTCTCACACATATGAATGAGTAATTTCAGGTGTCTCCCGATTGACTGAGGTGTTTGCACTGGGGAAGGGTTCACATTTTGGGACTGTGATGTAGAATTCTTCTGCACAACAGCCCCTTTTTTGCATTTGTGCCAAAGGGCCACAGGACATTTTACAAGATTGCATATGATTTCATTACTGATGGAGGAAGATAGGGAACTATACCACCAATCACTGGCATTGTTATTACAGCAATTTCTGTAGCAGCCTAAGATTATAGCCGTCTACACTCATGCTCATCTTCACCCACTTTAAAATGAAAGACATTTCCTGAAAACTAAATTTTGTGCCCAGTATCCTCTAGATACACCCTAGCAGAGACACAGTTGTGGCCATTAATTTCTCCACCCGTGTCCTGTTACACATATTGCTTAGGCCTGCATGTTCCACTGGTGGACAGAGCATCTGGATCTTCAACTGATGTCTACATAGAAGAGCCTTGGATGTGTTCTTCCTTTACCACTCCTGAAAGGGCACCCTCCTAGCTTTAGATGCCAGGAGTAAAACAACTGTGGCTAGATCTTCACTGCCATATAATACAGTTTTAAAATGCGGTTTAAGTGCATTATAGTGGATTATATGGCAGTGCAGATTTATATAATACAGTTCAACACAGTTATAGTGCATTCTAAAACTGCATGATTTGGGGGTGTAGATCCAGCCTAAGAAAGAGAAAGAGAAAGACAGGGGGGACAAGTGTACGAAAAAGTCAGCATTAGTGTGGATTGCAACAATATAGTTTGGTTTTGTTTTGAATGGAACGGAGCTATTTTTCTTTAATGCGAATGGAGCTGCTTCTTCCACCCATAATCATCATCATATTTATTTATACTAACCTTTTCCAAAACAATGGGCTTAAAAATTATTAAACACCATACAGAACAAAAACATACAAGACATCGGATGTGTGTGTGTGTGTGTTGAATAGCCTATATTGTTAAAACAAGCTGAAATTAAGGATTTTAAAAAACCCTCAAAACAATGTACAATCAAATCCTAACACAGGCCTCTGCTGGCAAAGGTGATGGGACAGAGAGAAGACCTCTCCAAACAATCTTAAAGTTGTATGGGCTCATGAAAGATGGTAATGGCTTCCAAACAGCACTGTATATATGCCACATAGATCTTTTGAAGGACATTTCTATCTTTGGAAATTCCACAGGAAAAGAAAGCATAATTGTAGTGTGTGCATGCAAATATTAAGTGGAAAAATAGTTGGCAGAAAAACAATATGACACACAAATGGCATCTCTGAGTATTCCTTTGATCAAAATTCTTTTTTTCCTGAAGCTATTTAAAAATAAGTAAGATTGTCAAGATGCCACCATTCTATATATTTGCATATCATTTCTATTTTCTCTCATGATGTTTATTCAGCCATAGAACCATGCAAAGTTCTAGATCAGATGTACACGGATGTCCCTTCTTGAGTTCCTGGCATGGATCCTTTCCATGGTTAATTACTACATAACCAAGTCAAACCCCATCTGGCAGTCAATCCTGATCCCTAAAGGAGACCCCAGTGCATTGCAGACTGCAGTTAATTCTGGGCGCGTGTCCACCCTGCAGGGTGCTAAATTCACACTGAAACATTAATTGTTATAGAGGGATGAAGAAATGCACAACCAATTCTGCTTTCGAAATGTGCTTTGTTTATTTTACATTTGGAATACATGCAGTTTTCAAAACGAACAGAGCAGCCCAAAGGCAACAAGTACCAGCCTCACTGTCAGAACTGGAGTCTATTTATTAAATAGAGATCAATATATTTTATTAAAATAGGAAGATATAAAGGAGGATATAGTAACACAACCAGGAGAACAGTTAAAATACTTGCCCTTTCTGCAAGAGAGAAAAGTTAAGCCCTTCCCAGGTCAGAAATGCTCTTGGGCAAACACTTCATCGTCAATCATCATTATCATGTATTAGCGGTTTAATTACAGCATCTGAACCATTCAAATAAAGGCAAATATTTTCATGTATCTATGCATTGACCAGACTGAACATGTTCCTATTTACCAGTGACACATGCAGTGTCTTTAGCCTTCAATCCTTCATTTTGCTTTGTGGAATGTACTTGAAGAAGCTGCATCCGTTCTTCAAGAGGGCTAGTCTTCCAGAATGCAAAGCAAGGCAGTGACCTCAGGCAGCGGAATCTGGGAGGTGGCAGCAAAGCTTTAAGTAAAGAAAATAATGTGCCACATAGCCTGCCCTGTGTCCACTAAGCTATGTTTATGTATGATGAAAGGTGCTGCCCATTGGTCAGTACTGAAAAAAATCTGACAGTCATTCAAGTACATGGAAGTAGAGCAAGACCTTCATTTTTTTCATTCAAGCAGAGAAATGTTTCAAATGGGGCCTGTTTGTCAGGTTGACATTCTTCCTCAAAAGTCACATTGGCAAGGAGGACTTGGAAGCATTTGAAGTTAGACACCAACGCACCCCTGTGCAGGCACATGACTATTAAGGCATCACCAGAGCTTGGAAGCAACACATTACAAATGCCATTACTTGTAACAAGTTATCAATGTGCAACAAACGTACCTGAAAAAACAATGTAACCAATAGAAATGGCAGCTCTTTCTAGCAGTAGGGAATAGTAATGTTTTCTAATTATGTTCTGTCTGGGTTGTTGTAGTTTTTTCGGGCTGTATGGCCATGTTCTAGAAGCATTCTCTCCTGATATTTCACCTGCATCTACGGCAGGCATCCTCAGAGGTTGTGAGGTCTGTTGGAAACTAGGAAAATTGGGTTTATGTATCTGTGGAAAGTCCAGGGCGGGAGAAAGAACTAGGTGTGGATATTTCAATTGGCTACCTTGTTCTATCTAATTCGAAAGGGCATTTTTAGAGGCATTCTGATTGGAATTTCACCCCCATGCAATGGGAAAATAACAAGTAACAAAAGAAGGCAATAAGTTACGATCTCAAAAGAAAGGAAAACATAATTCCATGGGAGGGGTTAGACATAAGAAATGGCTTTTTAGACATTACATTAAATCTTATCACAATGCAAGAGAACCTGCCATTCAACACACTCCAATGGGCATATTGAACTGTAAACTGTGATCGTTTCCTTTCAAGGAACCAGCTTTCAATAAATAAGCTGAGGAAACATTATTACAGGCTAATTTCATTAACTGCCTTCACATATGCTTTAAAAGCCCCGAAAAGCTCAAAAAGCAAACAATGGGAACAACAGCTTTACAAGCCCTCCAGAGGGCATCTTTGAGTACAGAATCGCTAATTTTACACACAGCGAGGTTCCATTCCTCGCTACTGAATACAGATCCTTCCCACAGGATCCATAAATGATTAACACTGTCTACAATGGGGTGGTGAGGCAGCAGGCCTTGTGTAGCCACCATCTCAGACTTTGTGGGACTTTTTAAAAGCAAGCAAGCAAAAAAAAAACCCAACAACAAGCAAACCAGATAGCAAAAGTTCCAAAACATTATCTTGCCTATGCCAGAGTTTCATTTCACTATTTAATTCCCCATCCACAAACAATCTGACTGGTGAAAAATGTTTTTCAGGGTGAGGATTGCTAGAAGCCTTTACTTATCCTCTTTCAGTCTTATAGAGGAATAATCTGTTGCATACTGTTCAACAGGAACAGTATTACGACCCAGAAGTTTAAAACCAGCCCTGCCAATCACACCATGAAATTACTGGTAGTGGATATTGTCACAACACCCATTTACCTCCCCACAATCTCCTAATAGCTGGAGTTGGTGTTCCAACATCTATAGTCCCAACATCTGGAAAGCCGAAACGTGTCTATATAGATCAGGTATGCACAACCTGTGACCAGCTTGTCCAATGTCCAGGAATTCTGGGAGAAGTCAAAACACCAGGTTTTGCAGACCTGATCTAAATTCACATTTAAGCATTGACTAGGCTAGAATAGTGTTTCCCAAATTTTGATCATCCAGGTTTTTGAACTTCAGCTCCCATAATCTCTGATCAGTAGCCAAAGCAACTAAAGCTTCTGGGAAGTCCAACACACTTAGGGCCCTTTAATACTGCCCTATACCCCAGGATCGGATCTCAAATCATCTGTTTATCCCAGGTTATCTGGCAGTGGGGACTCATATATTCTAGTTTAAAGCAGATAACCTGGGATAAGATCCTGGGATAAAGGGCAGTGTAAAAGAGCTGTTAGAGCAGTGGTTCTCAACCTGTGGGTCCCCAGATGTTTTGGCCTTCAACTCCCAGAAATCCTAACAGCTGGTAAACTGGCTGGGATTTCTGGGAGTTGTAGGCCAAAACACATGGGGACCGACAGGTTGAGAACCACTGGCTTAGAGGACCGGGTTTGGGAATCAGTGAGTTAGAGTCTCCATTATTCGGAGATAAGGAGATATGGTGACTTAAAAACTATGTCAGTATGGCATGGACATGCTCTCTGATTATTTCTTTTAAAAGAAGGCAATTGCAAGGAAGCTTAATTTATTTTTTGAGTGAAACCACGCAAAGAGAGTTGAGGGGGCCTAGAATTCAGAAAGGTAACCTGGGAAACAGAACAAGCCACTAAAAATCCGGTAATGTATAGATCTGCTGGGCATTAACTTGTTTGTCTATCACAAGATAGGTTTTGAGCAGTTTGTGGTGAATCCTCTGGATCCCATGGGACACAGCTTGTCTTTTCACAAACAGAAACCTTCATTCAAAATAGGAAGAGGCAAACGTAGTTGCACACTGTTCTCCTGTAAGTATTATTCCAATAGTATCGTCTCCCAGATATATTTGCAGAGAGAAGCATTTTTAGTTTAGCACATATATGTACTGTATTTACATTGATTATAATCCTTCGCATGCAAGTGCTACTACAAATGATGAGGATGACAGAGAGCTCTGGGACAAGAGCTGGGGCACTAAGCAGCAGGTAACCCACAAATTCTACTCTATTAGCCAGGGTCCAAATGGACAGCCATTTACCTGTAATATTAAAGGAGAGATTGCTAAAAATAGCCACTGACTTCAATAAAGCCCTACAGGGCTTTCAATTGCACGGGCCCTTACTGCAATACAAAAGGCAAGAGAGTATTTCCTATGAAAGCTTATAGGATGCCACTCTTCCAAGGAGAGGAACTGGGAAGGCAGGTGTCAAGAGGCTACACACAGAACCAGGCATATCATGCAGGGCAGCCAGACAACCTGCCAACCAAAAAGGTGCAAAAAAAACTTTGATGCAAGCCAGGAAGTTTCATTCTGGAGTTTGTTTTGGGTCTGATGGAACTAGGGGCCCCTTCCACACAGCCATATAACCCAAAATATTAAGACAGACAATCCAAAATATCTGCTTTGAACTGGGTTATCTGAGTCCATACTGCCATATTATCCAGTTAAATGGGGATTTTATACAGCTGTATGGAAGGGGCCTCGGAGAGGTGATCCAGCCCATGTTTCAGAGTCATTCCTTAAATATAGGATGTTTTGACTATGGATGGTGGTAGCATTGGTGCACAGCTTACATTCAAAGCCCCATTCTCACCAACAGAGCTCACCTGTGGAATATAAATTAGTGTATGCTTTGAAGCATGTGCACAATACTCACTTATAGCCACCAACCAGCCCTCCATATATATGAGAATGGGAGAAAAGGGCAAAAGGAGTGCCTACCTGAAAAAGGCACCTTGACAACTCTCATTGCAGAAGCCAATCACAGTCTCCAGAAGAGAAATCCAATTCTCTCTTCCCTTTGAAACTTCCATAATGAAATTCTAACAGATTTTCCCTCTGTGTCAAAATCCAACCATTCTTCCAATTCCATGGTTTGCAAATCAAAAACCAAGTCTAAGTATACTTTATGTTCTCCTTTGCCCCAGAGTTTTGAGGAACTTTAATCTAACCAACATCTGAATAACCTCCACTTTAAAAAAGAAAGGAAGTGTTGACATAACTCTTTCAGATCTTGCCAGAAAAGCTCTGAAGCTGTGACGCAAATTTGGGGGGGGGGGGAGGTGTGCTCCAGTAACATCTGGAGGGCTGCATGTTCCCTCATCCGCCTAGAATGTGAATGGAGGAGGAGGAGGAGGAGGAAATGCTAGGGACAACAAGTTTGCAGTGTCCTTAGACATGTCCAAAGCTTGGGAATTCAGAGGTACTATTTGGACTACAACTACCAGAATTCCTTAGTCAGCATGAAGATATAATTGAAAGTGGAATATTTTTCTTAAAGTATCTAACCAGAATCAGCTAAAGCATGTCTCAAATGTCATAGACCGGATAACACAGGATCACAATGGAAGAACAATTCCAACTTACAGAACAGAGAAAAGCCAAGCAATCTGCATAGAGGAAAATGTCAGCTGAGGACAACTGCTCCCACGAGAATGAAAGGGGCAGCCAACTTTCTGTGCTTTAGTGTGGAAAAAAACCCCACCATCCAACATCTGTAGTCCCAAGCATCTGACCTTGGCAAGTTTGCGGTTTGCTCTCTGTTATGTAACTTCCCAATTTTTGCATCACAACGGAGGCCCCAGTCAGGGTATTTAGCCCAGAATGGATGCCTCTCTTTGCCGAATGAGTTTCAGCATCGGTTCCACAACCCAAAAAGCAAATCCTGAGCTTTAAATAGAATTAAAGGCATTCCTTATCACTCGCCCTCTTTCAGGGATCCCAAGAAGGAGAGATGCCTCAGAAAGGGTGAAAGCATGGAAAAATGTTTTGGTGCTATCAAGCAAAACCATTGTATGGTGCGTACCTTCAGAGAGTAATTTTTCTCCCTCCCCTTCCATGGGCACAGCTGGAGCTAGCAGCTGGCATTCTGAGTTCAAAGACACACACTTTCTCTCTTTCTCTCTCTCTTTCTCTCTTTCTCTCTCTCTCTCTCTCATGTGGGAATGCCCAAAGATATTACATTTGCAAGCAGATAAAAAGACCAAGTTCCAGCCGAGGTCTTGGGACCTGCAGAAGCAGGTAATTTAAGACTACACAAAACACACATTGGCACACACTCTAAATCTAACTATATATTGGTTATGGGATGCATAGAAAAAAGGAGGGAGAGCCCAAGAGGGGGAATCACTCAGTTGTACCAGCAAACTGGTGCCCCCTGGCAAATCCGCCTTGTGATAGGCATTTTCCAGGAAGCGCAGCAAATCACTGGATGGGGAAATCCTGCTCTTGACATCAGTTGAGTTAATACCACACAGCTTTCAATAGTAGCAGTAGGTCCTCTCTCTGCCTAGCAGGGTTGCTGCAGAACAAACAATCCTTCCAAGAATCCAAGTTCCCAACTACATTTCATTGGGAAAGAAACCCAGTTTAGCCATGGACATTTCCTTCCTGAGCCGCATGATTTCCCAGTACATCAGTTCCACTGAAAGACAAAAAGGGAGAGGGAACACACAGGGAGAGGGAGAGATAAAGAGATGGTGATGAGTGACACATGTAGAAGGTAAGAAGTAGGCTTCATTTATATGAGCTGGGCAAATAAATTGGACTCCACCTCCCCAAGACAGCATTGCCATGATAGTATTCCACTGGCAAGTGAAAACAAAAAATGGATGGCTGTTTCTGGCCCACTTATCTACTCTGTTCTGCATCTTTCTCTTTGGATAATCCACCCAATTATTCAAACTGGGTCCCTTCGCATAGGAGTACCAGGAAACAAAGGAAAATTCTGCTATTTTTGTGCCACTGTAAGGTTCTGTTATCACGGTTAACGGCATGTGTCAGATGTAACTCGTACTTCACAGTTCAGGCAAGCCAAGGGCTGGCAAAGCAACTTCCCTTGTGAATCAGATATGCAAAGATACCACACTTCTTTTTGCTAATTGTGTATTTTTCTATTTTGGTCAGCCATCTGTCAATCTGAAAGATAACTGTGAACCAGAATCACAAACAGCCATTTTTGACCAGTAAATGCTTTGAGCTAAAAATAGCTCAGGTTCTAATAGAAGCAGATTTCCTGCCAACCTAAATTCATATTCAAACCAAACTTCATATTTCAAGCATCCTAATTATTCATACACCTTTCTCATCTTGTTTCTACATTTCCATTCCACATGCAACCAACTGGAATCATTTCTCTCCAATATGCCATGGGTAACACAGACCAGATGTGTATGCAAACAGGAAGAAACACCAATTTCCACCTGGGAACATCTGATAAATCATCTGAATAGAATGACAGGAATTCAGGTTCAGTTCAGACATCTTCCTTTACTAGAACTGTGTTGGTTTTACTACATTCTGACCAGAAAAGTGAAAGCAATTTGAGAGACCTGGTGCTATGAAATGTTGGGATAGGACAGAATCCTGAGGGACACATAAAAATCTATTGGGTGACCTTGGGCAAATCACATTCTCCCACCTTTACAGGAATGCAATGACAAACCTCAGCTGAAGAAATCTGGTAAAGAAAACTCTAGGACAGGGGTGTAGTAAGTCACAGTGAACTTCAAAACACACACCAACACATATGGAACTACTTACCATCCTGTCTTACCAGTCCCTGCTGGATGTAGCGAATGTAAGTGAAGAAGTTGCATACTGCTGTAATCTGAAAGAGAGAGAACATCTTACAATATTTTTGTATTTTTGTAATATTTATACATTTGTATTTTATTACTAATTTATGGATGCAAATGTGTACATTATATAATAAGACCCTTATAAATGTCCTACTGTAGTTTCAATTGTGGGAGCTGAAGTCCAAAACACCCATAGGCCCAAAGGTTGGGATAAACTTCTCCAGGCCCAGAGGAAAATGGACTAAGAATTTGTTATGTCCTCCAAGACATTCTGTACACAGTGATTCCCAACCTTTGGGCCTATGGGTGTTTTGGACTTCAGCTCCCACAATTCCTAACAGCTGGTAAGCTGACAGGGATTTCTGGGAGTTGAAATCCAAAACACCCAGAGGCCCAAAGGTTGGGAACCACTGTCCATAGTATGCTTCCCCTGGAAGTTACTACAAAGCTGCCTTAGAGGACCTAGCAAATTCCTAGAGAAGATACCTCTGTAAGAATGTCTAGTCCTCCAGGGCACATCTATGGTATGCTGGGACTGAAAGTCAGGTAATTTAATGATGTTCAGCCATGTCCATGGTCTGGCTGGGAATATATCACATGCAAATACAAGGTTCCAACTATACATTTATGAGGCTGTTATGATAACCACAAAAAGGAATTTTCACAAGTCTCTAAATTACGAGAAAGGTGGGATAAAATTGTGAATATTAATGATGAGGATAATAATAGTAATAATAATATTTATTTTATTTTGCAAAACAGCCACTTTGTCCACCCTTTCTATGCTCCCACAGAGCATAGAAAGAGGTGGCTGTATGGATTGAAAACAATTTCAACAATTTTTCATTTTTTACCAGAAAAAGACATTTGGTAAGGCTCTGTCAGCCATAGTTTGGACTCTAGGGATAGTTCATAACAATCACTTGGAACACCCATACCCCCTCGGGTTACTTTGGAGATTGTCAATAAGAGATCAAAAGGGTTGGCAGATGATGTCACAGTTTCTGCTAATCAACATTTTGGAGCTTTGATTCTGTGATGGTATGCATGGGTTCACTTCCTCTAACTGTAAGCTTAAAGAATGAGTACTGGCAAATGCCTGGAATCCCCATGGAGCAAATAAGAAACTGGGCATGAGTATATGTGGGAAAAGGGCAGGGCAAAGGTATATGTACATGTGCATGCAAGTGGACACAGAAGACATATACATATCCAAAAGTGACCACATTTCTGAACCAAACTGCCCAAAGACTAATCATTCTTAGTAGCCACTGAATGTTGAGTGTCAGCTGACAAATAAAAATCAAACATTTCTGTGAGCTAATTCAGGTCCTTCCAGGTTAAAGGGGGATGGAGATCAGGTCAGACCATTGTTCCCAATAGCCTTAGCCAGAAGAACTGATATTGAAGGATTCTGGGAGCTATAGTCCACCAACATCTGGAAGGCTGCATGAATGCCTCTCCTGGCTTTAAAGGCTAGCACCCTGAATAAGGGCGTTCCTACTGAAGCTGGGCTGCCATAATGTATTTCAGATACCACTTACATAATATATAGTGTCTTCATCACCTGGATGAATCACATTTTTCATAAAGAAGTCCCTAGCACCATAAACCTGTTAATATTCAAGGCACTACTAAACCTTTGTTGTGAGATGAGACTTATATCCAAGGGCTTTGGACATAATGTTCTGACTGAACTGAAGGACAACTAAACTTATGCCTTATAATGCAAGGGTGGGATTTGTCCAAAAATAGTTATACTTCATCTCCTAGAGTGCAGAGTGCAGGAGTTACAGTCTAACAATATCTAGAGAGCCCCACATTCCTCATTCTTGCTCAGCAGCACATGTCAACTGCCACAGAGTCATGCTGAAAATTAGAAGTTTTGCCTGGGAGGTGCTGCTACCCTTTCTTCTGAGTCAATACTATCTGGACTTCTGGAGACTTACCCTGGCCCTGCAGGAAGGTGAAATGTAGTAATAATTCCCAGAATCCCCCAGTTTGATGCGATGCTTGCAAGCTCTAGACAGACCACTCAGAGCACACTTCCTGTAAAAAGAGAAGGTAATAAAAAAGAAAGAAAAGCAACATGTTATCAAAAGGTAGGTTTTCAAAGACTGTGAAGGAGAAAAAAGAACACGCTGTAGCCAAGCTGTGTTGCCGCTTGCAAAGCAAACCATGAGCAAAGCCCATCACTCCCTAGTTTCAGAAAGAATTGTGCATGTGGCAATGGAGAACTTGTGGCTATATCAGCTAGAATCCTGTCAGTGGCTGTACTTGTTTAGCAAAGGTTGTATCCTAATTACGGATGCACAGTTGGTGGTCTGGCAGTGTGAATATTGTACAAGAAGTTCAAACTGTTTTCTGGGCACCACCAGTATGATGTAAGTTGTTAGACTCATCACACAACAGTGTAATCCGATATATAGGTAGATAAACTAGGCCAAGGTATAGTTTCACTAGCAAACAGCTCTACTGGATTTGACTTATTGTTTTAGGCATCTTTGTGTGTGTATTCCTCTAGATCAGATATGGGCAAACCGAGGCCTGGAGGCCAGATATAGCCCCTTGTGCTCTTTTCTCGGGCCCTCCTCTCTCTCACCATCCTATCCTTCCTTCCTTCTCTCTTTCCTTCCTCCTTGCCTCCCTCCCTCCTCCCTTAACTTCTTCTCCATTCCTCCTTCCCTTCTACTCTTTTGTCCTTCCTTCTATCCTTCTCTTCCTCCCTCTCTCCTTTCCTCCCTCCCTTTCTTCCTTCTCTTTTTCCTTCCTCCTTTCCTCCTGGGGGATGTTTAGTTGGGAGAGGAGAAGGTAGAGGAGGAACATGAGAACCATATTTCAAGATTTAAAAGGGTGTCCCATTGAGGAGGGGGGTGGGGGTGGAACTGGATTGTCTGCTGCTCTAGAGACCAGGGCAAAAGGGAGCTATGGTTTCAAATAGCAGGGGAAGAGATTTGTCTGAAAAAAATTAGAAAGGACTTCCTGAGAGTAAGAGCTGTTGGAGAGTGGTGTAGGCTGCCTCAGAGTGTGGCGGAGTCCCCTTCTCTGGAGGCTTTTCCGCAGAGGTTGTTTATCAGGAGTGCTTTGATTGTCCCTTCCTGCATGGAAGGGGGTTGGACTGGATGGCCCTTGGGGGTCTCTTCCAGCTCTAGGATTCTAGGATTCTATATCAGTAGGCAATATTGGGCCTAATGGATACACCTTTTATCTCCCATCCACCATTTCATCCTCACCAAGATAAACCCTTGGATCCTTTTGTATTTCTTTCACTTTCTGCCTCCAAAAGAGGAGCGGAAAGGGAAGAAAGGGCAGGGAGGGGGACTTGAGAGATCCCCACCCACCCACCCACCCTGCCCTGGCCCACCATGTGGCCTCCAAGTTTAAAAGTTTGCCCATGTCTGCTCTAGATACTGTTGGATTTGAACTCCTATCAATCCTTAAGAGTGGCTATCCTGCCTAAGGTTGATAGAAGCTGTAGTCCAATAACATTGTTGTTGTTGTTGTTGATTCGTTCAGTCGTCTCCGACTCTTCGTGACCTCATGGACCAGCCCACGCCAGAGCTCCCTGTCGGCCGTCACCACCCCCAGCTCCTTCAAGGTCAGTCCAGTCACTTCAAGGATGCCATCCATCCATCTTGCCCTTGGTCGGCCCCTCTTCCTTTTGCCTTCCACTTTCCCCAGCATAATTGTCTTCTCTAGGCTTTCCTGTCTCCTCATGATGTGGCCAAAGTACTTCAACTTTGTCTCCAGTATCCTTCCCTCCAATGAGCAGTCGGGCTTTATTTCCTGGAGGATGGACTGGTTGGATCTTCTCGCAGTCCAAGGCACTCTCAGCACTTTCCTCCAGCACCACAGCTCAAAAGCATCGATCTTCCTTCGCTCAGCCTTCCCTAAGGTCCAGCTCTCACATCCGTAGGTTACTACAGGGAATACCATGGCTTTGACTAGGCGGATCTTTGTTGCCAGTGTGATGTCTCTACTCTTTACTATTTTATCGAGACTGGACATGGCTCTCCTCCCAAGAAGGAAGCGTCTCCTGATTTCCTGCATCTGCAGTGATCTTTACGCCTAGAAATACAAAGTCCATCACGGCCTCCACATACATCATATACACATACTCCATTTTCCAGTTGTCAATCATTCTTGTTGCCATAATCTTGGTTTTTTTGATGTTTAGCTGCAACCCGGCTTTTGCGCTTTCTTCTTTCACCTTGATTAGAAGGCTCCTCAGCTCCTCCTCGCTTTCGGCCATCAGAGTGGGGTCATCTGCATATCTGAGGTTGTTAATGTTTCTTCCAGCAATTTTCACCCCAGCTTTGCATTCATCCAGCCCCGCACATCGCATGATGTGTTCTGCATACAAGTTAAAAAGGTTGGGTGAGAGTATGCAGCCTTGCCGTACGCCTTTCCTAATCTTGAACCAGTCTGTTGTTCCGTGGTCAGTTCTGACTGTTGCTACTTGGTCCTTGTACAGATTCCTCAGGAGAGAGACAAGGTGGCTTGGTATGCCCATCCCACCAAGAACTTTCCACAATTTATTATGATCCACACAGTCAAAGGCTTTAGAATAGTCAATGAAGCAGAAATAGATGTTTTTCTGAAACTCCCTGCCTTTCTCCATTATCCAGCGGATATTGGCAATCTGGTCTCTTGTTCCTCTGCCTTTTCTAAACCCAGCTTGAACATCTGGCAACTCTCGCTCCATGTATTGCTGGAGTCTTCCTTGCAGGATCTTGAGCATTACCTTACTGGCATGAGAAATAAGGGCCACTGTACGGAAGTTTGAGCAGTCTTTCGCATTTCCCTTTTTTGGTATGGGGATATGAGTTGATTTTTTCCAGTCTGATGGCCATTCTTGTGTTTTCCATATTTGCTGGCATATGGCATGCATCACCTTGACAGCATCATCTTTTAAGATTTTAAACAGTTCAGCTGGGATCCCGTCGTCTCCTGCTGCCTTGTTGTTAGCAATGCTTCTTAAGGCCCATTCAACCTCACTCCTCAGGATGTCTGGTTCTAATTCATTCACCACACTGTCAAAACTATCCTCAATATTATTATCCTTCCTATACAGATCTTCTGTATAGTCTCGCCACCTTCTCTTGATCTCTTCAGCTTCTGTTAGGTCCCTGCCATCTTTGTTTCTTATCATACCAATTTTTGCCTGAAGTTTACCTCCAATGTTTCTAATTTTCTGGAAGAGGTCTCTTGTCCTTCCTATTCTGTTGTCTTCTTCCACATCCATGCATTGCTTATTTAAAAATAGTTCCTTATCTCTTCTGGCTAACCTCTGGAATTGCGCATTTAACTGGGCATATCTCCCCTTATCACTGTTTCCTTTTGCTTTCCTCCTTTCCTGGGCTACTTCCAGTGTCTCAGCAGACAACCATTTTGCCTTCTTGGTTTTCTTTTTCTTTGGGACGTACTTTGTTGCCGCCTCCTGAACAATGTCGCGGACTTCTGTCCATAGTTCTTCTGGGACTCTGTTTACTAAATCTAGTCCTTCAAATCTGTTCTTCACTTCCACTGTATATTCACTAGGAATGTTAGTGAGATCATATCTGTTAGTGAGATCCAATAACATTATGGAAGGCCATATTTTCTCTCCCCTGATTTCTTTAAGATATATTAATGCCTATTATAACCCCTTTCAGTTATTGTTTGTATAATGGGCCTTAGGCCTAGAGAAAGGGGGACATTGAGGCAGTAAAATGTTAAGCTTATTTATTGGAGGGAAAGTCTCAGTGAATTCAGCAGGGCCCTTTTTACATTATACAGTTATAAAGCTATAGAATTAGAAAGCTACACTAAAGCTATAGTTGCATCATGTGGACTCTTGGGATTTGTAGTTTCTTGCTGGGAATTCTCAATGCCTCTCTCCGAATAGCAAATTATGGGATCACATAGGACAAAACCATGGCAGCATTCCAAATCACCTGCAAGCAGTAAAAGTTTTCTGCATCAAGGTTTTGGAAACTGGAAGTTGTTAGTGAAACATTAGCTACAGTTTGAGAAGTGAAAGCTATTCTGAAAGCTAAGTTAATTTATTATTCCAAAGGAACTCTGAAAGCTTTTAAACAAAGGCTTTTTGCAGAAATCCAGGCTACTAGTTTCAAAGTGCTCTAACTAAGGTGTTCTTCCATGGATTAACTATATGGTATTTTTAAAAATTAATTGCTAGAACCAGCCTCAAAGCCATTAATACTTAGGCAAGTTAGTAACTTATTAGTGGTGCAAACAACTTTTTGTCTTTGGCTTTAAAATAACTTACGTTACAACTGGGGACCGGAATCCACTGTGAGAAGAACAAGAGGAGGAAAACAAAATCAGGATAAAGAAAATGCATCTATTACATTGCTCTTGGCATGAAATTGATATGCTCACCGAAAGTTGAGATTGGAGAGAGAGAGAGAGAGAAATATAGGTTGAAGATAGTACACCCAAGAGACTAGGAACAGGCTCTATTGAAATCAGTGGGATTTATTCTGATTAGACTTCAGTACTCAACTGAGTGGGGATGGGGGCGTCCTCATGCCTTCATGCCGAATATTATCTTTACCTTTGTAAGATGCCTTAATTGTTTTTAACAGAAACGTAGGATATTAAAAGAGAAGCTATATTTAACGTAGTTAAAAAGGATCCTTTCTCATTATAATGCTGCAGCTTGGCTCTTCATAAGATTTATTCCAGAACCTGGGAAAGATTTTTAGGAGTCTGACGGTAGACTGCAGTTCCTTGACTCACCGTGGGATTGGAGAGATATAGTCCACAAAAGTAACTGCTACAAGCTGTAGCCTGCAACAGTGATCCCTCTGGTCTGGAGGCAGCTACAACAGGACTGGCTAGAGCAGAACCACATCCTGCCCCAGCTCATGGTTTACTGCACTGCTCATTATAGATATGTAATCCAACATCAAAAGTCTGTTTCTCCCACCCTTCTTCATCACCTATGCCAATGTTAAAGAAATTTACAACTAGGCTGAGGAAGAGAATGGAAAGCAGGGGCTGGTCAGGTGCAAAAAAAAAGCATGCCTGTATGCATATGTGAAGAGAAGAATGAAGGCAGGGAAGGGGAGCCAATGTGTCCTTACTTTGGTCCACCGCATTCAATGGCTGACACCTTCACCACAGGCAGCGCCTGGGTCGCCACAGGCTCAATGGTAAGTGTGTTCTGCTCCACGGCTGCTTGAACCAGCTCTGAGAGCTGCAGAAAACAAAACAGAGACAAGCAGCCAAGTCAACACTGAGCAAGATGCCAAAGGGAGAGCCATTGTATGAGCTAGGGCAAGCATATCAACTTTCCGAAATCTCAGAGTGAGTCCTTTTCAACCTCACCTCATGCTTGGTGAAATCCAGACATGGCCCCACGTCTTCTTGATAAATCCTTTCAAGGAAAGAACATGCTTTGTCCCATGTGGGAGACTCTTTCCAAGCCTGGAATTCTGCAAACAGAATAGAATCCACCTGAAGTGATAGAGAAACACAGAGTAAGAGGAAGGAAAAAAGAAATGAAAGAAAGAAAGGAAAAAGTAAGAACACAAGCAAGGCAACAGTATTCACATTCAAAATCCAAGAGGACAACCCAGAATAATCAATATTCATTGGCCCCTCTGTGAGTTGAAAAAACAGTGCAAATATTAATCTAGACTAACAATGTGCATCCTTGAAAATAAAGCAAGTGTAATCTGTTGGCCAAATAGTGGGATTCCAGACACAAAGTAGTTATTACAGAAAGAAAAGGGGCTATATTAGGAGGGAAAGTACTAGGAGACAATGCTTCCTCAATCCACATTAATACCAGATTAATTTATGCAAACACAGTTTTGGTAATTAGCTTGCAAAAAGTTTAAGTTACTAGGAAACTAGATGCCACATTGTAGGAGGATGCTTAATTTACATTATCATTTGCTTTCAGGATAAAATCCTAACAAGAGATAAAAGAATGAAAGGAAGCAAATGAATTCCCCTATCATGCCAAGAGAGGAAGGGGAACAAACATCCATTCCTTCACCAGGCAAAATAAATTTCAAAAGAAGAATCACTTCACCAAAGTTCAGAAAATGAACAAAACATCTGGGAAAGTTTATGTGGATATTTGGTGAGCACTGCAGGCCTTGGGTCTGACTCCAGAACAATTCATAGATGACTTATGGACTGGCCAGCTCTACCATTAGGGAGTGAAGTAGCTACCTCTGGCAACAGATTTTTCAGTGTCACAAAAAGGAAGGCAATTCTTCGTTATCAAGTTTGCTATTGTTTTTTACTGTGGGAGTTAAGAAGTCATTTGTGAGGGATTTACCTTCTGTGCCATAATAATCTAGCTGGCTCTGAGTACTACAAATACTCCTCTCAGCCCAAATACCTACTGGTTGGCCACAGGATGTGCCAGAAAAGCTTCTTCTGTATTAATTGCCCCTCTAGTAGCCATCACTCCATTCCCAAGAACTCTATGACTATATATGGATCATTTCAGATTTTGGCCCATGGGATCAAAAATACAGTATCACCAGCAAGCCTTTGGGAGAGTGAAGCTTGCTGGTGGTGACACAGTGGTGGTCCTGGTGTACTCTTCAGCCAGCTGAGTAAATGGCCAAAGAGCTCTGGGGACACTCCTGAGTTGTATTGGACCAGCTTCACAGTCCTTTACACTGGTTTTATCAGGTAGTGAAGAAGCAGTCTGGGAGAGAGATCTGAACTGATACAATTCACGCTCTATGCTACAGCAACTGCTCACTTGACACCAGGAGACAACTTCAGTGTTACAACACAAGGCAGTACGCCCAGGGCAGGAAAAGAATGAGAGAAAACAAAACAAGCTGTCTGTGTTAATATTGAAGAAAAAAAATGAAAAATCAGGAGGTGCTAAAGTAGAGTTTGGAACATCCTCCCTGATGTGAAGGAGATAAGAACTTTTTCAATATCTGCATTAAAAAAGGATTTCTTTCTATGCGTGCTAGCAGTGGCACCTGCCAAAATGACTTCTTCCCCACGGCCATGAAAATGGATGTGAACTGCCATCTTCCTATGCATTTGGGAGCAGGTCCCCCAAAGGTACCCCAAACTGAAAGAGATTACCTGCTGTGAAAAAGAAGAGAAAGAAGAGTCTGCTGCCAGGGATTGCCAGCTTGGCTCGTAGGTGATGTGGAGAGCCTTCGCAGGAACGATACAGAGAAGCAGAGAGAGGAGAGTGGGAACCCCAGACTTTAAGGAAAGGGGGAGTCAGACAGAAATAGGAGGGAGATTGGGAGATACCAGGAAAGAGAGACAGACAGACAAAAAGTCAGGGAGAGAAAGTAAAACAGCATGAGAGAGAGAAAGGATTGGAAGAGCAAAACTTTGTTCATGGAAGGGTACAAAGTCCTTCTGAAAATGCTTCATAATAGTGAGCTGCAGCGAAGCAACTGGAATGGGGTGAGGTTGGTACTACAGCTTTGAGACTGTCACCACCAGCATTGTCATACTGGAGGTTTCTGGGAGTTGCAGTCCAAAACAGTAACTTTCTCAAGCTCTGCACTTTAGTGTCTGATGAGCACTGTAGCTTTCTTCCCTAAACTCATATTTAAAGTCCTCTCACCCATAGTGATAGGACACTCACTGCTCATTTCATTGACTTTGGCTTGAGGTAGCAAAAGAACCATCCCAAACTCATGCAGTCTACAAAAAGAGGTCAGCTGAGGGCACTTGACCATGCTCTGAAATGGTGCAGAGAAGACGCTATTTATTTATAATTTATTTCCAACATTTCTACCCTATCCTTCTCAACCCCCGAAGGGCTACAAGTGCAAGAGGAAAGGATCTTGCACTCCCAGGACCTTTGAACTAACTCCCACTCCCATGTGGAGGATGTAGTTCATAGGACTCAGCCTCTCCCGCACAATACCTTAGCGTTAGCCAAAAAACTTTACCCACCTCTTTGAACTCACTGCTGGCAGGCTCTACAGACATGGTCTGGTTTGCCGCCGGGATGATGCCAGTGCTGCTGGTGCTCTTGTTCCGCCCGTGGCCTTTCCTGAAGACTACCTTGGAAGGGCTTTGGAGTTGTGGGTGCAACTCCCGGTTTGGAGAGGAAGGAGTCGAGGTGATCACCAGGGTCTTCAAGGCAGTCACCTCTGCCTGCAACATGTCGATCTGGAGGCAGAACACACAAAGCAGAAGTCAATACTGATCCCACCCTCTATGCTTAGAAGCATATGGAAACTCTGAATGAGATCCATTGCCCTTTTTGGGCTACATCTCTCAGAATCCTCACCCAGCATGGTCAGGACCCAAACACATTCGGTTCTGGTCTCTAAAGAGCAAAGGGACTGAAAGAAGTCAACTTCACACACAATTCATTTACTTTTTCATTTTATTACGAGTATTTCTGACTCACACTTTTATCATGGACTTTCAGGCTTTGTGTAATATGAACACTTTAAAACACTTCTGGATTTAAAAACCATGAATAATTTAAACAAAGGAAAAGGTATTAAAGGTGTTAAATAAAGCAACAGTTAAAACAGAATCAACTAGTGTACATATTGGTGATATGTTAAAAATAAAATTATGTGTACCTAGTGAAAAATATTTTAATAATAATAATAATAACAATAATAATAATAATAATAATAATATACTTTATTTGTATTCCACCCCACTTCCTGAAGGGACTAAGGGCAGATTATAGTACACATATATAGCAAACATTCAATGCTGATTGTTCAATTAACAAAGATAGACAGTACATAAACAGAGGTAAAGGCTTCCCATCTTTTTCCAACTCCGGCATCTGTGCTCGACTCCTGATACAGGGAAGGTGCTGTCGCTCCATCTTTGATGCCAAGGAGCTTTGTTGTCTTTAGATGCTCTCCTGATTGAATCACCAGCATGTCCACATGGGCGCCGCTTATTACCTCCCTGCCAAAGTGGGATCTATTTATCTACTCACTTTACTGTTTTCAAACTGCTAGGTGAGCAAAAGTTGGGCTGACGGTTGGGAACTCACCCCAACCTGGGCTTGAATGTCAATCTTTTAATCGGCAAGATTTTCTGCAGGTGGCGGTTTAACCCACTGTGCTAAAGCCTTGCTGAATATTTGTGTTATGTATTCACATTTTAAAATGGGTCATGTCTGCCTTCCTTCCCCTGTCACATAAGGAAAATACACACAGTAATATGGGTGTGAGCAGGAAACTATACCTCTGGGACGAATCAAAGTAATCTATTATCTGACAAAAAAGTCATGCATACATTGATTTCTCCAATGTAGTACAGATAAAGTTGTCTCTTGCTTTAAGGCAGGAAGAACACTTCCAGGTGAATTTAGAGGTTATTGTTGGGACTAAATACCCAAATAATTTGAAGGGAAACAGAGAGGATTTCCCTATGGCAAGCTGTCTCACACCTCCAACGGGACCTAACAGAAAATATAAATGCAGGCTGCTGATAGCCAGGACTCCATTGTGAATGTTGTCAACATTAGACAGCCATCAGGAGTCTTTTCTGGAGAAAGAAACACTTTGTGCAGCAAGCAACATCCAAAAGGCTGACAGTTATTTCTGCCTGCAGTAACATTCCAAAGCCACATGAGAAAAAAAAATCAAAAGGCAGTAAAATAAAATAAGCCATTCTTTTGAAGCAACATTGCTCCGGCAGATTATACAAATTTCTGGTGATCTGATCATAACTCTGTGTGTGTGTGTGTGTGTGTGTGTGTGTGTATGTGTGCAAAAAGAGGGAGGGAGAAGAGAAAAAGAGAGAGAATCCCATTGGACCTGCTATGGTTTTGGCCAACTTTTCCTCCTGTCAACAAGAAGAGGGGAGAAATTAAAATGTCAAAACCTTTTGGACCTCCAATTAACAGTTCTCAAGAATCTAGTGGAATAACTAACTGAATACACCCTAAAATTTAGCTATGTAAATAGACAAAAGAGCTTTTGAGTGCTTTGCTCTAGCCCTGTCAGCAGATGGTGCTGCAGTTACACAACACTGGGATCATTTTATTACAGATGCCTTTTACTAGTTACAGATCCCTTTCAGAAACTTTTATGGCAGTACCTTGAAGTTTTGGGGGATACAAGAAGTTCTAGATAAGCTGGTTCTACCAATCTCTGGCAAGGAATGTACTACAGAGACAGTTACAGCAGCAAGAATTTGTTGATCTTCGGTGTCCCCTCTCACACAGAAACTTGTTCAGCAAGACTCTTCAAATATCTGAAAGCCTGTTGCATAGATGAGGACAAAGATTTGTTCCCAGTGACTCTATGGACGCAATTAGGGCTTGTAGGCTTAAGAAATCACGGGGTAGATTTTGCCTGAGTTGCTGGAGAAATATCTTGATGGCCAGAGTTTCAATACAGGACTTTCCCTCTTGTTCTGGAAGCAGAGGTAAGATAGCTAGCAATCTGGTAGGGATGCTTTAGATCCTGAGCTAACTGAGCCAGAACATGAACTAGCCACCCTAAAAGCCCCACTATGACACTCAGCAATTCTGGCCGTACGTGTGAAAAAGTCCTAAGAGACCATCTACTACAGTGCTAACTTGTTTTTCATTCCTTATGTGTATGCATATTCATTCAGATAGTCAAAAGAGAATCATAGAATAATAGAATCAAAGAGTTGGAAGAGACCTCATGGGCCATCCAGTCCAACCCCCTGCCAAGAAGCAGGAAAATTGCATTCAAAGCACCCCTGACAGATGGCCAGCCCTCCGTTTAAAAGCCTCCAAAGAAGGAGCCTCCACCACACTCCAGGGCAGAGAGTTCCACTGCTGAACAGCTCTCACAGTCAGGAAGTTCTTCTCATGTTCAGGATGGAATCTCCTCTTTTGTAGTTTGAAGCCATTGTTCCGTCCTAGTCTCCAGGAAGCAGAAAACAAGCTTGCTTCCTCCTCACTGTGACATCCCCTTTATACATGGCTATCATATCTCCTCTCAACCTTCTCTTCTTCAGGCTAAACATGCCCAGCTCCTTAAGCCACTCCTCATAGGGCTTGTTCTCCAGACCCTTGATCATTTTAGTCACCCTCCTCTGAACACATTTCAGCTTGTCAATATCTCTCTTGAATTGTGGTGCCCAGAATTGGACACAATATTCCAGGTGTGGTCTAACCAAAGCAGAATAGAGGGGTAGCATTACTTCCCTAGATCTAGACACTATGCTCCTATTGATGCAGGCCAAAATCCCATTGGCTTTTTTTGCCGCCACATCACATTGTTGGCTCATGTTTAACTTGTTGTCCATGAGGACTCCAAGATCTTTTTCACACGTACTGCTCTCGAGCCAGGCATTGCCCCCCATTCTGTATCTTTGCATTTCGTTTTTTCTGCCTAAGTGGAGTACCTTGCATTTGTCCCTGTTGAACTTCATTTTGTTAGTTTTGGCCCATCTCTCTAATCTGTCAAGATCGTTTTGAATCCTGCTCCTGTCCTCTGGAGTATCCCTCCTCTGGAGTATCCCTCCTAATTTGGTGTTGTCTGCAAACTTGATGATCATGCCTTCTAACCCTTCATCTAAGTCATTAATAAAGATGTTTGGATCATGAACTCTCTCATTAATGTGAAAACGCATTCCTACAACTATTAATTTTCAGTAGTCTCCACCCAATATACTCATCAACTCCCATTTTAGTAAATATCACATTTTGCTTTCCCTGTCCTCTGCCCTTCAGAAACTCTGTGCATCTTCATTACAATGAAAACACCAAGATACACATCTCTTATTGAATTTCTTGCATATCTATGAAGGTCATGTACTCTTCTGCCCAAAAACCATTTGGATCTGTGTCTGAATGAAGCATTGATCCAAACAGATCTGCCAAGCAATGCCAATGAACCCCTTCCTAATCCATAGTTCAAAATGTCAGATGGAAAAGTTTAGAGTCATCTAGGAATTCTATTAGGATGGATTTGTCTGGAACAGGGTTGGAAGCAGCACATATATTCCAGACTCAAAATAGTTGAGAAAGTGATGATAAAAAAGCAGCTATAACCTCTCATCTTTGAGTGGAAACAAGAACAAAAAGCAGGGGCACAGGAATTACTAGAGTAAGGAAAAACATATTACTATCCAGGAGTCCATCTCTGTCATCTCCAACAACATGGACTCTTTTTTACGAGTTATTTCCACACAGAGAGAGGGACAGAGATTGTGATCACTGACACAACCACATATTGTATGCTCTTCTCGCTCTGGCATCCAACATCTTTACATTTCTTGCAGTGTTTGAAAAGTGAAATCTGCAGACGAAGAGCTGAATAAATGTAGTGCCCATGTACAATTAGAAAACCTGATCACATAGTGTGCATCTACACTGTAGAATTAATGAAGTTTGACACCACTTTAGCTGCCATGGCTCAAGGCGGTGGATTCATGGTGATTGTAGTTTCTCATGCCAAAGAGTGATGGTGACACACCAAATTACAACTTCCAGGATTTCACAACATTGAGCTATAGCAGCTAAAGTGGTATCAAACCTCATTAATTCTACAGTATAGATTAGGCATGGGCAAATTTCAGCCCTCCAGGTGTTTTAGACTTCAACTCCCACACTTCCTAACAGACATAAGGAAAGCTGAGCGAAGGAAGATAGATGCTTCTGAACGGTGGTGTTGGAAGAAAATTTTGAGATATCCAACCAGTCCATACTCCAGGAAATAAAGCCTGACTGCTCTTTGGAGGGAAGGATATTAGAGGCAAAGATGAAGTACCTTGGCTACATAATGAGAAGACTGGAAAGCTTAGAGAAGACAATGATGCTGGGGAAAATGGAAGGAAAAAGAAAGAGGGGCCGACCAAGGGCAAGATGGATGGATGGTATCCTTGAAGTGACTGGCTTGACTCTGAAGGAGCTGGGGATGGTTATGGCTGACAGGGAGCTCTGGCGTGGGCTGGGCCATCATGTCACATAGAGTCAGAAGCGACTGAATGAATAAACAACAAAGTATGCTGTTAGGAATTGTGGGAGTTGAAGTCCAAAACACCTGGAGGGCCAAAGTTTGCCCATGCCTGGTGTAGATGCACCCATAGGCTACCAAACCACAGAGAAAGAGGCCTCCTTACACAGGCAATCTGCCACATGCATGAGAGGGGGAAGCAGGCCAGGATGTCAATATGACACACTCCAAGGCAGATTAGGGCTCACCTTCCCTCGGGCTTCCCTCAGCTGTTTTTCTGACGCAGCCTGTTTGGTGTTTGCTTCCCGTACCATCTTATGAGCTTCCTGTAGCACAGAGAAAAAACACAACAGATATACACTTGCACACAATGTAAATGAGTTCTCAAGATCAAATTATAATATGGCTCCCCTACTTGAATTATAGCTCTAGAACAAGCTTTTCATAAAATGCAAATGGAATTAAACTTTAGTAACTAAAGCACACAGCCTCTCTGATACTGATGTAGAAATATCACCTTTTGCAAAGATCAGCAACGTTAACAAAAGCATAGACACGTGTGACAATATAAAGCAGAATTCCCATAATCCAAATTAAAAGAGGTGTTTACATGAGAAATATTTTAGATCCAACCATTTAGTGAAATACAGTGTGTGTTTTCATGGCCAAGAAAAAAGAAGCTGGGGAAATGTTAATTGAGAACATACAGGGAATATTCTCAAGGACAATTCCCATTATGCATCAGCCAATCTATGCATGTAACCAGTGATCAGGTACTCACATGGCTTAGGATGTTATTCAGAAATGCTCTCTTACGTCTCCAGACAGTTTCATGCTGCATTTATAATTTTGTTGGCTTCAGATTATTATTATTATTATTATTATTATTATTATTATTATTATTATTATTTTGTATTTACATTTGATTATCTTTTGTGTACATGTGCAAATTGCCCAGAGAATATCAATAAAGGATTAATATACAAATATTTAAAATAAATATGTAATAAACAGTGTTAAAGATTCTGCATTTGATGAGACCATAGGGATAATAACATAAAAACAGGGAGAGACCTCTTCACCTGGAATTCCTATAACTTAGAGTAGCTTAATTCAAGGATGCTGAACATGCAACCTACCAAAGAAGTCGAAGGGTCACCTGTTTCTTGCCAGCATTGTCAAAAGTAAGAAATGATGTTTTCACTGCAGTCAAACAACATTTTTGGGCTACATGTTGCACAACACTAGCTTAAGATATTGATTTTTGCCAAATGGCAAGAAAGAATGCCATCACCTATTGATTAGAGAGAAGTATGGTAGAACTTCCATCTGCTGTCACTTACAGAGAATGTCCTACCAGCTCCATCTCAAGTTTGTCAGGGCATCAAAGCCTGATGTCTTCCATGAAGCTTTAACAAGCAATAGATAATAAATCTATTACAGGATAAACTTTCATGTTGTGATGAGCGAGAGGGGAAACTGGCTCCCATGCAATTGGCCACAGGTGTTTTTAAATCTACAAAAACCTATGTTATAAAAAAAAACCTGTTAGTCGTTAAGATACCACAAAATTCCACATCATTACCGCCTTGGTAAAGGTATCCATTGTGTCCCCATGATCATAAAAGCTAGTACTAGGTTCCAGAAAGAAATATGGATTGCTTACCTGTAAACGTATTTCTTCCAGTGATAGTCTGTGAAATCCGCACTAATGGGTTTCTGTGCGCATGCGCAGAGATTTCGGAATATTCTAGCTAAAAATCAATTTAGGCGGGAGTCCCGCCCACCCTCCCAATGGTATATAAGGTAGTAGGCGGAGCTCCGCTTCAGTTCCTTGCCGCCAGACAGCAGCCAGGAAAAGAGGCATGACATGAGAGGGGAGGACGGGCGGGACGTGCGGATTTCACAGACTATCACTGGAAGAAATACGTTTACAGGTAAGCAACCCATATTTCTTCCTCGTGTAGTCTGTGAAATGCGCACTAATGGGTGACTGTAAAGCTGCTAACCTGGAGGTGGGTCATGCCACACAGGAGAAAAGAACTGCTCTGCCGAAGGCTGCATCTCTCTTGGCGAGGATGTCGAGCTTGTAGTGAGAGGCAAAGGTGGAAGGTGTCGTCCAAGTTGCTGCTCTGCAGATGTCGTGGACTGGAACACCATGGAGGAACGCTTGGGATGTTGAAAGCGACCTCGTAGAGTGAGCATGGATAGTCGAAGGAGGTTCTTTGTTCGCCAAACTGTAAGCTAGGCGAATTGTGGATACTATCCATGATGATAATCTTTGAGATGTTACTGGAGAGCCCAAGGCGTCTTTTCGGTATTTTAGGAAAAGTCTTGGAGATTTCCTATAGGAGGCTGTCCTGGATATATAGAAGGAGAGGGCTCTTTTGACATCCAGTGCATGGAGTGCAACTTCCAAGGGAGAGGAAGGGTTAGGAAAAAAGGCAGGGAGAGTGATGTCTTGGGACATGTGAAACTTGGAGACAACTTTAGGAAGGAAGGTGATGTCGGTCCGAAGGACTACTTTGTCCTCATGGAACCTAATAAAAGGAGGGTCTGAGCGGAGAGCAGCGAGTTCACTGGCCCTTCTTGCAGAAGTAATGGCCACTAAGAACGCCGTCTTCCAGGAAAGATGGGAGATATCACAGGAGGCCATGGGCTCGAAGGGAGGTTTGGAGAGTTGAGACAATACTAGCTCAAGGCTCCAAGCCGGGGGTGGAGGGGAAACTGGGGGGTGAACATTTTTATAACCTTTAACAAATAACTGTATCAACGGGTCTTGAAAAAGGGACGGTAGTCCCGATTTTCTTCTAAACCAGGAGAGTGCTGCAAGATAGCACTTAATCGAGGAGAGGGAAAAACCTCGTGAAGAGAGGTGAACTAGAAAATCTAAGACAACATGTATTGGGGCTGAGGCAGGCTCAAAGCCCAAGGGGTGAATGAAAGACTTGAATTTCGACCACTTATAAGTATAAGCTCTCTTGGTGGAAGTTTTTTGAGCTGCCTGGATGATGAGTCGTGCAGCCTCAGAGAGATGGGTCATGGTGTGATCCTCCACGCTGTGAGGCGTAGAGTTAGGAGATCTGGATGGCAGATCAGCCCGTTTTGTATGGTGAGGAGATCCGGGCTGGAACGTAGGCGAAGAAAGGTTCTTCGTGATGCGTGAAGGAGAGGAGCAAACCATGGTTGCCTGGGCCACCACGGAGCTATCAGAATACAATTGGCTTTCTCTGTGATGATCTTCGCAACTACTCTGGAGAGTAGAGGAAGAGGGGGAAAGATGTAGAGGAACCCTTGAGACCACTGGAAGAGGAAGGCGTCTCCTAAGCAACCTGGGAATACGTGAGGGTGGAGCCTCGCGCAAAAGAGTGTGCACTGTGTGTTGTTTGGGGAGGCAAACATGTCTACTTGTGGTTGGCCCCAGTGACGGGTCAAGAGGTTGAACTCTCTGGGGTGTAAGTGCCACTCGTGGGTTGTGGTCGGAGTCCTGCTGAGAGAGTCCGCCAGGGTATTGTCTTTCCCCGGAAGGTGGATTGCGATGAGGAATATGTTCCTCCGAATGCACCATTCCCAGATATCTGATGTTATGGAGAGAAGGGTTGGGGAATGAGTTCCCCCTTGTTTGTTGAGGTAAAACTTTACTGATGTGTTGTCTGTGACTATCTGGATGGTGCGGTTGGAGACTTGGTGAGCAAAGGCCCGGAGGGCTTTTCCCACTGCCAGTAGCTCCAGTGCGTTGATGTGGAGTTGTTGTTCTGAGTGAGACCAGCGGCCGCTGATCGTTAAGTCTCGGAGGTGAGCCCCCCAGCCGAAGGAGGAGGCGTCTGTTGTCAGTGACAAGGATGGGCGGGGGGGTGTGAATGGGAGACCCGAGCACACATTGGATTCCCTTGTCCACCACAGGAGGGAGTTGAGGACATGAGCGGGAGGTTGAAGAATCATGGATTGTGAGTCGTGAATGGGATCGAATACCCCCAGGAACCAGGATTGGAGCGGGCGGAGGCGGAGTCGGGCGAAAGGTGTCACACTTGTAGTGGACGCCATGTGGCCAAGGATGGATTGGATAGCCCATGCAGAGGACCGGCCTGAAGAAAGAAGGCTGTTGATGGCTTGGGAGAGATTGGAGAACCGGTCTTCTGGCAGGTAAGCCCGTTGGGATGTGGAGTCTATCAGGGCACCAATAAAATGGATGCGCTGGGTAGGTATGAGGTGGGATTTGTCGAGATTTACGACAAGTCCAAGTTCCTGTAGGAGAGACAAGGTGAAGGAGATGTCAGAGAGGAGCTGGGAACGAGATTTCGCCGAAAAAAGCCAATCATCTATATATGGAAAAACCGTTACGCCGTTCTGGCGCAGGTGAGCAGCTACCACTGACATGCATTTAGTGAACACCCTTGGGGCAGAGGAAAGACCAAAGGGTAATACGGAAAAGGAAAAAATGTGGTTATCCAGTGCAAAGCAGAGGTATCTGCGATGGTTGTGTCTAATTGAAATGTGGAAGTATGCGTCTCTAAGGTCAACCTTGGCGAGCCACGCTCCCTTTGTGATGAAAGGAAGGATGTTGGCTAATGTGACCATGCGAAATTTGCGAGGTGAAATAAATTTGTTAATGCCTCGGAGGTCTAGGATGGGGCGTTGACCTCCGTCCCTCTTATCCACTAGGAAGTAGCGGGAGAAAAAGCAAGTGTGAGCTAGGTCGGGATGTATAGGGGAAATTGCCCCTTTCTCTAAAAGAGAGAGGATCTCATCCCAAAGCATGGGAGAGGATTGAGTTGGTAAAATTTTCCCCAGTGGGGGAAGGGAATGGAATTCAATGGCGTAACCCTCATCCACTATGCGGAGGACCCAGGTATCATTGGTTATGGACTGCCAAGCAGGTAAGTATGGATGGAGTCTATTGAAGTATAGTGGTAAGGTGGATGTGGTGGGTGTGGGGGGTGGGGAAGGGACAGGTAGAGTCAGTGCTGGTGAGGGAGGGGGGCTAAAAACGCCGCTTTTTGTTGTCTGGTGGTTTGGTGCCCCGATACTGACCCTTAAAGGGAACAGGTGGTTTCCCAGTGGCGGCAGTAGATGAGTGAGGACGTTGTTTTCCTCTGTAGGAGTGAGGGTTGTAGCGGCCTCTATGATAGGTGGGGTAATGATAGTAATTGCCCCATCGTTGCCTCTGTTGATAAGGTTGCTGGTCATATTTATTGACCGTTTGCTTCATCTCGTGGGAATGTTTCAACTGGGAGTCTGTTTCTGGATTAAACAATCCTGTTTGATCCATAGGGAGATCTTCAATCAACGTGCGAGCTGAGGGAGAAAGAGTGGATGCCCTGAGCCAGGCGTGACGTCTTAAGGCCACTGCCCCGGCAATGAGTTTGCCGGATGTGTCAGCTGTGTTCTTTGCTAAGTCCTTTTGGAGCTTAGACAGAAGAAGTGCTTCTTGAGCAAAGGCTTTTGCCATTGGTTGATCAGCCACAGGTAAAAGATCAAGATAAGGAGAGATTTTGTTCCAGAGGTGTGTCTGGTATACACTCATGTAAACGCCATAATGTGCCATTCTGGCAAACAGGCAGGCAGAGGAATAAAACTTTTTTGCCATGGCATCCAGTTTCTTTCCTTCTTTGTCTGAGGGAGAAGCCTGATTTCTCTGAACTGGTTTGGGTTGAGCGTCTGTAACAACTGAATTGGCTCTAGGCAGCTTAGCAAGCCATGAAGCTGCCGAGAGGTCAATGCAATAAAGATTTTCAGCTCGCTTTGGTGTAGCTGGAACCAGGGCTGGAGAAACACCTTCTGTTTTTAGGACTTCAAGAAGGTAAGGTAATGTGGGCAATATGGTTGACATGGGCCGCTGTTGTTCAGATGAGGTGAAGCAAGGGTCATCCACAGCCTTAGTAGGCTGGGGAACGGCCAAATTAAGTGATCTGGAAAGTCTGATTAATAGAGCAGAGAAATTTTTAAACTCTTCTGCTTGTAGAGGGTCTGGGTCTGGTTCAGCCTGAAGGGCAGGGGTGGGAGGTGAATCACTGGAAGATTCGACATCCACAATTTCTGGGTCAGGTTGGTGATCCTGCTGAGGAGTAGTAGGATCTGTGAGTGGTGCCCCCTGGTGTTGAAGGAGAGGAGGCTCAGGAGGGGGTCTAGAGACAGTGGCGGAAGGAGGGGGGTAGGAGGGAGGACAAGGATGAGGGGGAGGAGTATGGTCCCTCGAGTATTCCCCTTGATAGTAAGGGTAGTAAAAGGGGGGGGGATAGAGGGGAAAAGGATAATCATAGGGGTAAGGGAAGCGTGGATCGCGGTCGCGCGGATCGCGCCCGCGCGAGCGTTTGGAGGGAGGAGTGCGGGACCGGGAGCGAGAATGGGAGGAGGATGAGGATCGGGACCGGCGCTTGGAGGAGCGCCTCGGCCGAGAACGGCCGCGTTCTCCTTGTGAGATGGGAGGGGCCGGTACCGGGGAGGGAGGTTGCTCCCTGAGAGGTTGAGCAGGTTGAAGGAGGGAGGGGGAAGGGGGSAGGTTAGGATCCGGCTGGGAGTTAAGGAGCTCCATCGGGAGCAGTTCCGGGGGCTCCTGAAGCTCCAGGAATTGAGGTGCCGTTTGCTCCGTTGGGGAGAGTTCAAGCAGCTGGGCCGGCGGTACCAGCGTGGGAGGACTCAGGGGCTGCACGCCAGAGAGTTGCCGTCCCTTTTTCTTATTTTGTTTCTCCTTTGACTTGCTCTTATGAGCAGTTTGCTTGGAGACCCTGGATTTTTTCGGCAACGGCTCGTCCCCAAGGGGAGGAGTCTCGGCCGTAGGGTTTTCTTCCAGTTGGATGGAGGAGGGGCCRGGCCGCTCTCCGGAGAGAGGGGAGGGTGAGGGCTGTTGAGAGAGACTGAGCGCGGCTTGGCGAGTCTCCTCAGGAGCCAGCGCCTGCTCATACAAAAGAGCTTTGAGGCGGGAGTCTCTGCTCTTTTGGGCTCGAGAAGTAAAGCCCCTGCAAATCTCGCAGGCAGAGCGATTATGGGCCTCTCCAAGGCACAAGAGACACTTAGTGTGTCTATCGGCTTCTGGGAGATTAACTCCACAAGCCGAACATTTTTTAAAAGATAGAGTCGACATTGCCTGTCCGTTAACGGTCCGTAGTCAAGGGAAGGAGAGTGGAGGATCGTAGAGTCAGTCCGAGTCGATAACAAGGTAAGTATACAGAGAGGAGAATCCGAAATGCTTCTGCTGTCGCGCGGAAAGAAGAACTGAAGCGGAGCTCCGCCTACTACCTTATATACCATTGGGAGGGTGGGCGGGACTCCCGCCTAAATTGATTTTTAGCTAGAATATTCCGAAATCTCTGCGCATGCGCACAGAAACCCATTAGTGCGCATTTCACAGACTACACGAGGAAGAAGTAGTGCATATCCATGAGTTGGAGGAGAGTTCTCTTAATCCAAAGTATCTTAAATTAAGGACAATGAATACACCATATACACTCATGTATAAATCAACTGCATATATAAGTTGAGGGCAGATTAAGGAGTCAAAAATATGAAATTTGATATGACCCACAGATAAGTCGAGGGCTGTACCATAGAGAGGAGAAAACAGTACTGCTGTCTCAGGGAGCAGCCACCTCTGGCTGTGAATGCCATTTCCTTGTCCAGGCATTCCAAAGGCCCAGAAGTGGTGCCAGGATGGAGAGAGTAGAGGGGGTTGGTGCTTCTTTTTGGATTTCCAGGGACAGACTAAGACTTACCTTTTGCTGCTCAGAGAAGGGGATGGCTGCTTTCTTATATAAAAGTCAAAGTATAGTCCTCAAACTGATCTAGGGATAAATTGCCCCAGGTTTTTGGGTTGCTCTTCATTACAATTTCTAGACCTATACATGAGTATTTTGTTCTCATGAACATTGGGATGCTTCCTAATGTTGGAGAAAATGCATCTGCCAGAATACTATCTAAGCGGAGGAACAATGGTCATTATATTAGCTTTGAGAAACCAATCTCTATTTTGAAGAGACCAGTTATCATCAGTTGAACTACAAGATCACAGAAAGAATCTGATTACAATCCCTGAATGCTATTCTGGATTTTATGGGAGTGGCGGAGGATGCATGGTTTGAGGCTGAGAAGAAATGTGTCTGTAAAGACACACCACTCAATGTATATGTTAGACTTAAGAAAGCCTTAAACTTGGTTCTGAAGGGTCAGTAATACATATTAAGTATTCAGGTACCAACTCTAGGTTTGAAAGAAAGCAGTACTTCAACCACGCTTGCTGTTAATTTAGAAGAAAGGAGTACCTCAAACAAGCTTGCTGTCAATTCCTCCAGCTCCTGCTCCAATTGCTCTCTGACTTTTGAAAGTCTCTCACATTCTTCATCCTTCAACTTCAGCTCCTGCCATGGAGAAAACACAAAGACATGGAACGGCATGCATGGGGCAAAGATTAACTGACACAAAATGCCCCATTCCTTTAGCTCACTTACACCAAGTATGGTAATGTTGATACTTTCATTTTCTTGTTTTACTATGTCTAGTTTCCCCTGATTCTCACATCCCATAATCCCATAATATGTGTTGTGTTGCTGCAAACTTTTCTTTTACCTCTGAGCAACTAAGAGCTTAATATCCTTTTGGCTTGAATCATATTGTATCAACTGCCACAGCACAACTCATTTTGTCCCAGTAGCTTGATGAGTGCTAGCCAGTCTGAGAAATTCATTTCTGGCACAACCTCTGTCATTTTGGATTGTCTCAACATAGGATTTTTGAGTTTACCATGCCTCCTTCTGAACAGTACTAACAGGCATTAGCTATGCTACTACTGTTGTTTCTGAAAGATCTTCCACCAGTGTATCTCCACACTACTGAGGCTGCCTAGTAGCTGTTTGCCACAATTATTCTGACTCCTCAGCGAAACTATGCCTGACATTGGAAGCCCTGCCAGCAACACTGCTGCCATCAGCATAGCCTCTTGCCTCATAGAAGCATGCAATCCCAGCACTAGAGAAGGGTAGTGCCAGGGCGAGATTTGCCATTTGTTTTGAAAATATGTCTATTATTATAACCTGAAGTGTTTCAAAATTTTATGTTATTTCTGCCCTATCAGAATAAATATGTCAATGATATCTATTAGTACTTTTAAAAAAATACTCCAAATATTCACATTAAAAATTTACATCAATAAAAAAGGAGCCCTTAAGCCCTTTCACAGTACATAATAACAGTGATAGTGCACGTACTGGTAACCTCAAGGTTGGACTTCTGCAATGTGATTTATATTGGGCTACCCGTGTATCAAGTTTGGAAACTCCAACTTGTTCAAAATATAGCAGCCAGATTGCTTACAGGAACATCTAGGAATTAGCATATTATATCTATCCTAAGGTCGCTCCACTGGTCAAAGTACAAGGTGTTGGTTTTTACCGTTAAAGCCCTACATGGTTTGGGTCCAGGTTACCTAAAGGATCACCTACTCCTGTACAATCCACCCCCAAACACTTTGGTCTTCTGGGGGTCATATGCTCCAACCAGCCAGAACCCGACTGGCAACTACCACCCAGAGGACCTTTTCATTGGCCACCCCACAACTATGGAACGACCAACCATGTAAAAACCTATCTCTTCCAGCTGGCCTACCCAGACAGTCTTTAAACATGAATTTTAAATGTGTGTCCTTTGTTTAATCTCTTTTGTGTATTTTAATATGTATTTTATAGAGATACATTTCAGTGTTTAACTTTTATAGAGGTACATTTTAATATGTGTATTTGTGGTGTTTTTGCAGTGCTTATGTGTTTTAATTGTTCTGTAACCCACCTCGAATCATGAGAAGAGGAAGGTAAGAAATAATAATAATAATAATAATAATAAGAAGAAGAAGAAGAAGAAGAAGAAGAAGAAGAAGAAGAAGAAGAAGAAGATTCCATTTCAATTGCCATGGTTTCATCCTATGGAATACTGGTATTTGCAGCTTAAGGAAGGATATTTGAGGAACTACAGCAAGACAATGTCTCACCAAAACTACAAGCTCTGAGATTCCACAGAAAGTTGAATTGCAATTGTAATGCTTTAATCATACACTGTGAAAGAACAGCCGATATATGCATGCGGAGCATACAGCAACATTGGTAGGCAACTGTCATTTCCTTTATTCTTAGTAATGTCCTTACCTTCTGAGCCCTATGGAGCTCTTCTTTCAGGAATTCAGACCCCTTCTCACGGATCTCCACCGAAGAGCTGCGCAAGCGTGAGACATTCAGCTGAGCAACAGTCTGGTTCTCATCTCCATTGCCCAGGTCTTTGATGGAAGGGTCCATTGGGTGCTGTCGTTCCTGACCTCTATTCGCTGGAGCAAGAGGTTTCCATTGTCCCACTACTGGCTGCTTTGAGAGCTGTTGCCTGGTCTCCTCAAACTGGGCCTGCCTATAGGAAAAAGACACATTAGCTTTGGATTCACTAAGAAAAGTCAGTTTTAGGCATAGGTAACGAACCTGATAAAGTACGTTCCTTGCCCCCAGATCATAAAACTTCCAGCTTCTTAAATATTTCACGGAGGGGTTTTGGGGGGTGGGGTTGCTACATGTGAGGTGAGCTAAGGGACAGGCAGAAGAGAGATCTTTGACATTCAAGAAGATGCATCTTAGATAAGCAGAGACCTTCCACCAGCAGAAAGCAAACTCTGAATGCAACTCATGGAAAAAGTATACCTGCCCAACCCAAATGGAAAATAAACAAAAGAGTCTAAATACAATAAAAGTGGCGAAAATGTAGTCCACAGCAATTCCTGAAGCTTGAAAGAACCTCTTTTAAAAATTGGATGGGTGGTAAAATTGGGAGTTTGAGTTTAAGTGAGAAATTAGTCTAGGATTTGAGAAAAGTATAGTTAGAAACAGGGTTTCAGAGAGGTTTGAGTTAGTCAAGGGTTGGAGCCAGAGAGAAGGGAATTTGAGTTGAGTTGTTGATAAGGATCTGATAAGGAGATTGTATGGTGCTTTGAATGAAATAAATAAATATCCTACTGTATTATGTTTAAAATCTATATTTAAATGTTTGCTTTTGTTTTCATACATTTTAGACCTCTGGAAATGCTATCAATCTGAGAGCTTGAATTCAGGCAAAGCATTGAAGATAGCGGATGGCTGCTCATTGAGAACAGAAGTTGCATACGTCCTCACAAATACCTTGAGGGCATTTAGGCAGACTTCTCAGTGGGTGACATATAGGTGGGACAAGAGGAACACCTTACTTTCTGGAAGATCAGGGGAATGATAGTGAGCACCGTAGAAAGTTGGGGAAAACCCACATTGGTAGCCATAGCAATGGGATAAAAGGTGAAACCAGAATATAAAGGGTAGAAAAGCTCAATGTTTGGCACAGTAGTTTGGACTGCCTGAGAGGAACTGCCACTGCAGGTAGCAGTGTAATGCAATAAAGGACAACATCCTCACAAAGGGTGATACTAGTAAGGAGATCACACTTCCCCAGCTCCATAATTGCATGCAAAGTGCTTTTACTTCCCTCTTTTCCCCATATGTCCCTCTCAGTTCAAGCAGTACAGCTTTAATTAGAGAACACTAAGGAAAGGACACTGCTTGGTGGCAGGAACACATACATTGCCTACAGAAAGCTGCAGGTGCCATCCTGGCATCTTAAGGGAGGACTAGGAAAGACTCCAGAGATCCTGGAGAGTCACTGGCAGTCAATGGAAACAAGAATGAAGAGTTAGAGGTCACTTCCTATTATCCATCTACACCAAATACACACCACCATACAGGATGGGTGTTTCCTTTAAAAGCATCCAAATAGTGTATTGAGAGCTGGAAGTGATCCCAGTCAAGAAGAGTTTGCAGCTCTGAGTGCCAAAAGCATATTAATAAATCCTGGAAGGCCCACCCCTGTTAGCTGTATCTGATTCTCCTTTCTAAGGAATGTTTAGATTTCTTCCTCGAGTTCTGGAGGACAGAAAAAAAAAAGGACACAAGGCTCTCAAGCAAACAAAAATAATCTATTACACTATGTAACACAATTTTTGTTCCTGGATTACAAATGTCATTTCCTAATTAGTTCTATCATAAAAGCATGGAAAACATTTATTAAACTGCAATAAACTTTGTTTTGGCAGGACATCCTGCAGCACATTTTGCTATAATTTTTCATTGAGTATCTCATAGGACCTTTCAACACAGCCATAAAACCCAGAATGTCAAGACAGATAATCCACATTATCTGCTCTGAACAGGATTATCTGAGTCCAGACTGCCATTTTATCCATGTGTAGAAAGGGTCATAGAGTCTCAACCAATTCAACACAGTTTGTGGCAGCCACAAAAACAAAGTTTCTGGAGTATAACTACTTTCAAAATAAGTACCACACAATTAAACAGTAAATAACACTTTCAAATTAGGAACCGGGGGGGGGGGGTTTGAATCCTTAACACACACACCCCGAAACCCCCTCTCTGGCTACAGTCCTGTGTGGGGTCTTATACCATTTCATCAGTATTTTCCTTGTATTTCTTTCATCTTTCAACATTTAAGTTTTTGGATGGAATGTTTTGATTGAAGTGCTCATTTGTCTTCCTTCTGATATGTGATCTGCCTGGTTGGTGTGTGTGTGTCCGCGCGCACACGCACACATGTCAGCATTATGAGCATTATGCCAACTGATTATTCATTTTCTTGGTTATGTTTTGGGTGAGGGACACTGATAGATATTCTTGGTATAAAATCTTTTTGATATAGAACAGAGTAGAAATATTAACCATGCTACTATGAATAATAGTAATAATAAACCATAGTGTTGCTTTCAGCTAAAGTAATCCCCCTGCATTAACTCAATTTACTTAAGTGTTGACACATGAAACTATTCAATGAGTTTTGCATCAGCACTCTATGCCTGGACAGCAGGCTGAGCAGGCACATGGGTTAACTAATCACAATCTTCTCCACTAGTGGACTATCTAATAATCAGCAAGGGATTGTGAAGCAATGTAGTGTGATCCAAGCAATGCTACTGTTGTAGTTACAATAAAACACTTGTGCCCACAAGACTGGCACTCATGGTTTCACCACTTGATTTACACAATACACTGAACACAATAAAGAAACAAAATATTTGCAAGTAGCCCCAAAGGTAAATAAACAACAACAAAATTGTACTTGTTGGTTACATAAATAATCACCCCCTTACCATGAGACTTGCTACTTTATGTTTTATGCAATAACAGAACAGTGTTGAGTGTCTTGTGTACATCAGTCAGTAACAATGCATGTTAAATCCATGTTAGTGTCAGGTTCTCACACAACAAAATGTGGAAAGGTCAAATCAGTGAACATCTGGACATGGCACTATTCATAAATCAGCATTAGCAATTTATTTGTTGTTGTGTGTCTTCAAGTCCTTTCCAACCCTTATGGTAACCCAAAGTTGTGCTGATAAATCAATTAAGGAACTCTAGCAATGGCCATATCCGCAGTGCTGGTCACTGTGATTTTCCTTTACAATATGTATGATGTGTGCAGATATATATTCTGTCTTTTAGTTTCTTTTCTTTGTTAAAACAGGATATAGCTCAGCTGTCTATCAATTACAGTACTATAATTTTCAGAGCTGTCTGAATCCCTTCACATATTTTTTCTGCCTCTTTATTTTGATCAGTTTTTAGGTCAGGCTCTTTCTTGCCCCTCAGCACATCCAGGCCACACCAGTAAATATCCAGTCCAATTCTTTGCTTACTCGCTCACTTAAGAGGGCATCTGCTTGCCTTGGCACATACTTCTTAACCACTGTAGCTAGCAAAGGAGAATTATGTGGAGAAGGCAGGCTTTGGACACAGCTGCAATTTCCCCGATATCAGCTTCCTAAAATAATATACCAGCCTCATGGCATGCATGTCAAAATATGTGTGTTTTAATATAAAACAAAGGGGGGAAGAGAAAAATGAAACACAAAAGAGACTTTGTGCAAATGAAGATGGAAAACCTTAAGCAGAAGCAGCAGTTTAAAGAGACAAAAATGCTCACAGGAACTAAATGCTGGATTTGGCCAGAGGCTCCTCTCCCAAATAAAATACCTCCTCAGGAGGAGAACCCAGCCTTTCTTTGTCCCATTTTTTCATCTACAAAATAGGAACAGGCTAAGTATTTTTCCCCGTACAAAGCAAAGGCAAGCCTCAACAATTTTTTAAATCCTTCTATTAAAAAGTTTGTTCATTAAACATAAATAATTGATAGCATCACAATTGCTGAATGCATACAGACACATATACATACACTACAGACAAGAAAAGCTGAATAAGAGAGGAAAACCCAAGGAGGAGAAGGTCTGAAAAGAGAAGAATTTTACTGCTATTGAAAACCATGAGAATCAAACAGAAGAAAACAAATTCTCCCAAAGCCAATGGCACTACATTTCAGACAGAGTATGGCCAATATCTGAAAGAGGTCTGGAATGAGTCAGTATATGTTATCTATATAACCAGCCCTGTGATCTCACATTCCTCCTCACAAGAAGAGAAAACAGCAGAACACTCTTCCCTGAATGTGTCAGTTCAAATTCATGCAACCTACATTTTTAACAAGTAGCAGCCCACCAGCCCAGAAATATCAAAGAAGATGTTATTGGATTTCTTTAGATATGTAAATGGGTATCTTGGAAGACAGTAGACAGATCTGGGGAGTTCTGAAGTACAGGACAGAAAAACAGAGTAAAATAGCCTTTATTTTTCAAAATTAAAAGCCAGAACAATAATTAATATAGGACAGCGACAAGTAAGCAGCTTTGCCAAAAAAAAAAAAAGCTGCCAAAACATAATAAAAAGGATATTTAATCTGGCTATCTTTGTTCTATGTAATATTCCGATTCTTATTCCAAGTAAAATAGCATGCTAGGAAGCCAAAGATAAGCAGGAATAAGGATTGAAGACAGAGGCAGCCCTAGGTAATTTTCGACGGTAAGCAAACAGTATTTTGGCGCCCCCCTCCCAACCAATCACTGATATATATTTTCTGTTTGTCCTGGGAGTTCTGTGTGCCATATTTGGTTCAATTCCATCATTGGTGGAGTTCAGAATGCTCTTTGATTGTAGGTGAACTACACATCCCAGTAACTACAACTCGCATATGTCAAGGTCTATTTTCCCCCAAGAGCGCCCCTGGGCAAAATCAACTATACTGCAAATGCTTACTTCGCGTAATGGGTTGAGCTGCCCCTGATTGAAGATGTACAAATAATACCACGACAATAAGGCTCAAAACCTGCGGGCTTATACTAAAAAGACCAAAAAAGCTCCACAATATACAACATACAGATGGATAATAGTCATAACGATCAATAGAATCATAGAATCATATAGTTGGAAGAGACCTCGTGGGCCATCCAGTCTGACCCCCAGCCAAGAAGCAGGAAAATCACTTTCAAAGCA